GCTTTGTCTTAAGAGCTGTTAGTGAAAAAAGCAGTGTTTTCTTTATTTGATTATTCAAGGAGTAACTGGCTTCATTTGAGTGGCTTTGATTTGGTAACTCTTTAGGATATTAGTTATGAGCCAAAACATGTTTAGAAGTGGCTGGAATAGCATTGACCAGTTTAACTTGATTGAAATAGGAATATATTTGCCCTCTCTTAATAAAGGAGGCATGTGCCTGTGGGTATCGAATACATTTTATTTGAAGGTAATGAAATAGAAAGGGGCTTAGCCCTCTGCCTCTAACTAGAGTTCAGAAAGATTACATCCTCTCAGTGTCTTGGAGTTCCTGATTAACTTTTGGTTAACGTTGACTTCTGTCTTCCAGCAGACCACTTCCTTACTTTCACTCTACACATTGACTTGTACTGCCCTGAGAAGAGAGAAAAGTAAAAACATTTTACTGGAAGCCTAAAATAGAGCTGAATGCATCAATATATCTGCCTTTGTTACTTTCCCTCTTACAAAAGCTTGTGTTTTTCTTTGGGGACCGGAGGGCACTGGGGCGTAGAAATGGAAGGAATTGCTCTTCTAAGGCAAGTTTCAGGCCTTGTGTGGCTGAAATCAACCTAGATTCCCCCCTGTTGCAGGGCCGGGGTTCGCCACTGAACAAGGCTCCTGAATACTCCTCCCTAGAGCACGTAAAGTGTCTGAGCTTACCTAAAAGTTACATGTACCCTTTAGGGTTTATGTACATGTACTTCACATAAGCCTGCATAGGAATTAAGAAACCATTTTGAGCTCTCAAACCTGTGCTCATTCCTTTCTAGAGCCAGCTTCTTGTTTTCTATCAAGGCAGACCTTCCACTCTAGAAGAGAACCAGCAGTGGGTCATCTAGGCGTCTTCTGTTCTGTCTGGCAGTGACTGCCTTTACCGGTTTCCTAAACAGCCTTAGAAATAGGTCTTGGGGTCACACTCAGATCTTTGAAGCGTTCTTCTGTCTCAGTGCTGATGACCCTATTTCAGTGTCACATTTACTGAGCATCTTCTTGAGCCACATCCTGCAGTAAGTTGCTTTGAGAGTTGGGGAAGAAATACAAGATGTGCTTTCTCCCTTTAGGAACTCTAAAATCAAATAAGAGAAGTGAGATTAATATGTGAAACAGTATATGGCAGTATATAAAATTAGAGGATTTTTAGAACAGGAAAAGACTTAAAATCTCTGAATTTAGACTTTTATTGTTTTACAGATGAGGAAATGGTGGCCCATAGAATTAAATGATTTGTCCAAGATCACAAACTCTTAGTACTTAGTAGTGAACTGGTATTTAATGGAATGCTAAGGTTGTGTTACACACTGTAACTGCCAGAGTAGTTTAGGAAGGGAAGAGATTGGTAAGAGCTGAAGTCAGAGAAAGCTGTATGGAAAAACTAGACCTTCTGAGATGAATAGGGCAGGGCTAGGAGAAGAGAAGGGAGGGGTGGGAGGGGGTTTGTGCTTGTTGTGTTTGAGATAGGAATGCTAGAATAAAGTTATAGACTGTGACATAGTGGAAAATAAGGTCGAGTTGGAGCCAGGTAAGAAAAACCCAGTAAGAGTTTGATCTTGTCCTTGAAGCCTCTGAAGGTTTTTAGCTGATGACAAATGTGTTCTGTGTGTATAATGGATCCCAGGGAGGGAAGTCTGGAGTCTCAGCCTGGAAGGTTGCAGCCATCAGGTGTGAGATAAGTGCCTGCATAGGTATTGGAGACTAGGAATGAAGGATGGGGGTGGTTTGCGAGATGCTGAAAGGAAAAATAATGGCATTTCTGCCTGTCAGCTGGGGACATTTGAATAAGTCTCCTGTGTAACTGAGAAAAGAATGCTCATTGAATGTGCTCCCAAGAGCCAGGAATCTGAACTAGGGTTTGATTGGTTACAGTTTTAACAACAGCTATAAGTCCTGAATTTCTGTACATAAGAAATAAGAGGTTGGAGTGGTTTTTTATTTTTTCACTATTTTAAAGTCCTAGTATCAGTACACTTTTTAGAAGCATTTATTTGCCTGTTAATAAGAATTCTTATTAATCTTGTTAACTAAACCCAGAGTATTGCATTTAATCTTTAAGAATGAAAACTGTGGGGCTAGCCCAGTGGCGTAGTGATTAAGTTTGTGTGCTCTGCTTCGGAGGCCTGGGGTCCGCGGGTTCGGATCCTGGACGTGGACCTACACACTGCTCATCAAGCCATGCTGTGGCAGTGTCCCATGTACAAAAAAATAGAGGAAGATTCCCACGGATGTTAGCTCAGGGACAATCTTCCTCACCAAAAAAAAAAAAAAAAAAAGAATGAAAACTGAGTTCTCTTATGGCAGATAATTTGTTTGCCTTTCTTTATGTTCATTTCTCCCACTGTCACCTGAATGGACATTTCCTAATAGGTGCTAAGAATGAACTTTCAGCTCCTATACAAGACTCCTTTTGGGGAGCTGGCTAAAGACCCCCCATTCTTGTTTGGAGAAAGAAATGAGTAAGGAAATGCAGTGTTCCTTTGGAGTCTTTCACGTTTCACCTCTGTAAGCCATTACAGTTGAAGTCCTCATTGAAGAGCTGCCATTACAGTTGAAGTCCTCATTGAATAGCTGCCATTTATGGAGCATTTACTAGATGTCATGAAGGTATAT